CAGGGGGACTGTGTAGTTTGAAAAAAAAAAAAAAAAAAAAAAAAAACTTACCTCATGGACATCCATACGTAAAAAGAATCTCAGGGGGAAGCCATATTGTTTTTATGCGAACAAATTAACGCAAAATCACGGCAACCACGAGATTTGAGAAAATATAAATATGCAGTGTACAAAAGACGGGGGTCGGGTAGAAAAGGAAGTTAGTCTACAAATGACCAGACAATATGACAAATACAACATTTACAAGTGAAAAAAAAGCAATGATTTATGAGTGCTGTGTAACATTTAGAATTGTTTATATTCTGCAATTTGCTGTCACTTGCATATTTTTTCTTTCTTTTTTGTTGCAACCCATTTTATTTATCTTGTGACATATTGAAGGGTTGGGACCAACAGTTTGGAAACCTTTGATCTAAGTAGAGAAATCCAACAACTATCAAATTGCCTTTCAATTTACAAGAGATGTTATATTATCTTATAATCTCCCTTATTTAGAACTCTTGTGCATGAGAATTACTTCCCTTTGAAAAAAACCCTTAGTCACTCCCACTCTTCTGTAATAGACCTCAGAGAATAAACCATGTGAAAACACTTGCTTGTCTCATGTTAGCCCTGATAATATATGAACCTATCAGATAACAGAACAATGATAATGTTTATTTGCAAGATTATAGAAATATATAAACCAGCTAACATTTAATATTTATTATTTACCATTTTATAAAGAAATAAATATGAAATGATTTTTTTTATTCAGAAATTTATGAAAATGTCTGTGAACAAGAAAATTCAAGTAAACATAATGACAAGTAACTAATTATAAATTTTGAAAAATAAATGCATTTTCTGGGCATTTCTTTTATTTGCTCTCAATCACTAAAATAGATTGAGAGCATCTCTTCCTTTAAACCAGGGTTTCCCAACCTGGATGATATTGTACGCTAGTGGGCAATTTCAACTGTTGTGTAGGTGAGAAGCAACTGAACAGGAAATGGTGAGTGTTTGGAAATTTTGGTAGGCAATATAAGATTTTGAGTATTGAAAAGGCATTTCAATATATGCTACCTGAAAATAAATATTCAAAGGAGAACCTGTATAAAACAAAACAGGAGGCTAAATTGGAATAACTTGGTCACATTCTAGATAAGATATAAATTCTCCTGCAAAACAATGAATATTTTGTTATTTTCTATAGTTTTGAGAAAGGTCATTAACATTTAAATAGTTCTTTCGGATATAAATCAGATAAGGGATGACAAAGAACAACTTTGCCAGGAAAATTAAGAAGTGACCTCAGGATAATTTTTATTTAATATAAAATTGTTTTTACTTTTTTTAAATTCCATTGACCATCTCAAACTTATCAAGGCAGGAAAAGTGACCATCAAAATATAATTAACTCATCACTGTATAGGTTTGAATATTTACTATACAGGTGCACATCTGAAAATTTTTCCATCTGAAACTGGCTGATGACACAAAAAAGGTTGGGAAACCTGGCTTAAAACCAAATATTCTCTTAATTTCAGATGAGACCACGCTCAATATTTTGAGCAGGTATCTTGCTATTCATGGGGTGTATAAGGTTTTTCTTGTGTATAATCACAGAATATCTATAATTTTTACCAAGTATTTCCATTGATTATGTTATATAGCATACCTGTGAAGACTAATGGGTATGTCCCAATTCTCATAAATACGTTGGAGACTATTGTAAGTAGGGGTAATATGCTGTCTAAGTAGTCCACCACTAGCAGTAGTTCACCTACTTCATGGCGCTGACGAGTATTGTATTTTGTTGATGTTATAAAGATTACCATTTCATTTCCAACCTCTGTTTTGGTTATTCCTCATTCAGTAACCCTTTCTAGGTTACAACAGATTTAGGCATCCTTAACCCCAGATCACAATTATAAAAACATCCAATGGAAAATTAAAACAAGAAATAATCTGACAAGAAAATGAAGGTCTGAAAAAAAAATCATATTTGTTTAAGTAGTCTTGTTTATAATTCACAAACCTTTTTTTATAAAATGATCTGTTTTCATATTTCATTATAAAATTGTAAAATGGTAAATAATAATATTGCAGTATAGTTGATTCACATGTTTTTATAATCTTGCAATTAATCTAACAACTAAATAATGTATAATATTTTTGTTGCTATTAAAATTCTAAAGAAAGCTTTTTAAAACAATAAAAATTTGTAGGGACCCCACCACCACCAAAAGCTTCACAGTCATAAATGCTCAATATACTCCAATATTCTGGACAAGGTACCAACAGCACAACTCTCCACAGGAAGAATTTTGTCTCCCCTCTTGTCCTGTAGGATTTTTATTTTATCAGGCCGTCACTGAGAGGCCAAAAAAACAGCCAATCTGCACATTACATTAAACTACAACTGATTGGAAAAAGAACCAGCCAATTAGCACAAGGCACATGAGGAAAAAAAAACAAGGCATTCTAACCTTTTCTTTGTCATTATTTTCTCTTCACATGTAGCACTACCATGTTCTTGAGTGTTGCAAAAAATGCATGCAAGCCAAAATCCTCTCCAGGTTGCAGTCGGCATTCTTGCCAGCAACAACTTTTCAGGGCAACGCTCTTCAGCAACTACAAAACTACACTTTTCAGGACAACACTCTTCAACAACTACAAAACTGTCCTTTTTGGGACAACACTTTTCAGTGACTACAAAACTGCCTTTTTCAAGACTCTCCAGTGACTACAAAACTGTCCTTTTTAGGACAACACTCTTCAGCGACTACAAAACTGTCCTTTTCAGGACAACACTCTCCAGCAACTACAAAACTGTCCCTTTCAGGACAACACACTCCAGCTACTACAAAACTGTCCTTTTCAGAACAACACAGTCCAGCAACTACAAAATTGCTCTTTTCAGAAGGCTTTTCAGTGACTACAAAACTGTCTTTTTCAAGACAAGACTCTCCAGTGACTACAAAACTGTCCTTTTTAGGACAACACTCTTCAGTGACTTCAAAACTGTTCTTTTCAGGACAACGCTCTTCAGCGACTACAAAACTGTCCTTTTCAGGGCAACACTCTTCAATGACTACAAAACTGTTCTTTTTAGGACAACACTCTTCAGCAACTACAAAACTGCCCTTTTCAGGACAACACTCTTCAACAACTATAAAACTGTCCTTTTTAGAATAACACTCTTCAGCAACTACAAAACTGTTCTTTACAAGACAACATTCTTTAGCAACTACAAAAACTGTCTTTTTCAAGAAAACTCTCTTCTTGTCCTCTACATAAATTTGGCAATATATTTTTGGTACTCAAGCTTTCATTTGTTGCTATCTTCCATCATTCAATATCTGTTTGTGGGCCAATATACCACCCACAACAAGCTAACACAAAATACTATACTGGCAACAATAAAAAGCATAGCAGTGAATAAGATATGGTGGAAGCATATGGGATTAAGAACTTTAACTGCTACAATGAACCAGTGACAATAGGCACCTGGTGGATTCAGTGGCTGAAGGCATTCTCACTTTATGTTGGGGAACAAGACCTACTGCACAATAGTGAGTGAGACAAAGAAGACGTGCTTTACTATTGCATTTAGCAGGGCATACAGTACAAGAAATTTTTACAACATTGCCAGATATAGCGACAGACTACAAAGCAGTGGTGACAGCAGTAAACAATTACTTTGTACTTCAAGTTAACATTTCTTTCTCTAAACAAGCATCCCACCAAGCAAAGCCACAACCAGCCAAAAATTTCCAAAAGTATGTCACACATCTCCAAAATCTAGCATTGACTTCATTTACGGTTACAATACTGATAACCACATTCAAGACGTGCTACTATGAAAATTTTTAGAAACAAGCCAAAAAAATTGAAAGTAGAAACCACATACCCATACCACAACACCAAATCAAAAAAAAATATAAAAAATCAGAACACACAAACAAACAAACCCACAAAGGGAACAAGTTACACATGCAGTTTGGTTGGGCACTACACAGGGGATCCCCAATCCCCAGCCCATGCAAAAAATTTTAAAAAGTGCGGTATGGCAAGCATGGATAGAATAAAACAGGTGAACGCAGTGGTGGGATAGAGTAACAATACAACAGCAGGCCCAAACAATGCTTATGCTTTTACAATCAGTCATGTCGAGACTGGTAAAGTGACACTCAACATTGGAGATATACCATTAACTGTTCTAATTGTTGGTTGGTTGATTTTGTTTCGTGGCATATCAACTGAAATGTAAATAATTTGAACACAATTCTATGGCTTCAACTAAATATATTTTGAATGCAATTACATGCTTTCTTTTAGATATCTATACACACATCTGTTGAAAATTGCACTCTTTGTAGATAATTTTTTAAATAAAAAAAAAATTAATAAATAAGGGATAAGTTATTTCCCTTGGACATTTCTTTTTCAAGTTGTAGAGGCCGCATGAATCTTTTTTGTTAATCTTCTCTCCTTTTTTCTTCAGATGTCATAAGAGAGCCATGCTGAATAAATAGATTAATTACAAAACCATCACTCATTTGTTATCGCTTCTTGTATGAATGTTCTGTCACCACCAAAAGTTAAGGTAGGACGTTTTTCGTTCATTCTGTTATAATGTGGTGCTCCCACGGACTATTTTTTTTTCAACAACATCAACATATGATACTAACCTATGTAGATATAGCCACTACTAATATTACTAACATATGAAACCAACCTCCTGAAAATATACTGCTAGCATTTTACATTGAAAATAAACTAGCTGGATTTAGACAACCAAGTTGTTCAGTTATTTATTATTCAGGTCTCATTTCCTTTGTCCTTTTATCAAACCCTTCCCAGTATACAACTGGTGATGAGAATTACATTGGAAGTAGGGAAACTGTAGAAATCTTCCAAGCCTACATTGAAAGGCTGAAACAGTATTTAGAACTGAATGGAATAGATGACAAAAGAAAGTATCAGCTCTCTAGGCTGTTAAAGAGTTGGCGAACATGACCGCCGACGCCGCCGCTCCATTTCCCCACTTTTACAAAGGGAACATTAAGAACTGGTTCCTGCAAATGGAGGCTATTTTTATTGTCAGAAAAATTACGGACCAAAAAACAAAGTTTGGCAATGTGGTGGCGGTTTTGCCACCCGCCATTGTGGATGAAGTATCTGATTTTCTAGAAGCCGTCCCGGAGTTGGAACCGTATGCCCGATTAAAGGAGGCTATCCTAAGAAGAATGGGCCGTACGGAGGAAACATTAATCCGTGAGTTATTTAGTAACTTGACCTGCGATGGCAGGACACCCTCACAACTCCTTCATTTTATAAAAAGTCAACTCGGTAAAAACACCATCGCTGACTCAATTTTAAAAAGCCTGTGGTTGGATCGCCTCCCCACCAGCATTACCCAAATACACAGTGCTGAAGCAGCTAAAGACCACAGGTCCTTGAAAAAAGCTGAGGAAGACTTACAGCGGCAAGTTAGAGACTTGACATTAGCTCTAAAAAGCTGTGGTCGGGCCGGGTTTCCTTCCATGCGTTTCAGGAGTCGACCCACGTCAGGCAGTCGAAACAAGGATGTCCCTTCTTCTACTATGTGTTATTATCACCGCAGATTTGGTTCTGCAGCACATTACTGCACCAAGCCGTGCACCTATACTGTGGTCGTGGAAAACAAGACCGCCAGCGAGTGAAAGCGACTAATCTCGCTGGTGTTATATGTATACATACACGTGTGTGTATACAATCTTCACCCTTATTTTTATTGCCGAAATGACTTAACGCGCTATAAGGGGCTGGTAATGAAGGGTTCGCAAATTGTTGTACCACTCAGTATGCATGCAGAAATGCGCAGAATTCTGCATCAGGCGCATTTAGGAATTGAAAAAACTAAATCTAATGCCAGGAAGGCTCTTTTTTGGCCGAACATGAACAAAGAAATCGAAGATATGGTAACAAATTGTGATTCATGTCAACGATATAGCAACCGACAAAGTACAGAGCCACAGATTCCACATGACATACCAGACCAACCCTGGCATAAGGTTGGCACAGACCTCTTCAGACTGCAAGGGAAGTACTACCTCATGGTAGTGGACTACTGCCCAAAATTTTTTGAAATAAGTCTACTCCATAATACAACAGCACTGACGGTGATTAATCGGACAAAAACATCTTCGCTAAACATGGGATTCCCAAACTAATAATCTCTGACAATGGCCCTCAATTTAAGTCAAGTGAATATAAAAAATTTGCCACTGAATGGGATTTTTCCCATGTCACTAGCAGCCCAGAATATCCACAGTCCAATGGTCTAGTGGAGAGGACTATCCAAACAGTGAAAAAAACATTGCATAAATGTTTCCAGGCAGGAGATGATCCATACCTTGCGCTACTAACGTTGCGTACAACACCTGGCAAAGACAACTCTCCTTCACCGGCAGCTAGGCTAATGAATTGCCAACTGAGAACACTGCTACCAATCATGAGAAAAAATAATCATGATCATCAAAAGGTAAATCACAGACAGTCAGTACAATGTGATACCCATCAACGGGAGCTAACTCCTCTAAATATTGGTGACCAGGTCTGTGTTCCTGATGGCAAAACTTGGTCCAGGAAAGGAGTAGTGACTGAACGTTGCTCCCAACCCAAATCATACATAGTGCTGACGGAGAATGGTAGAAGTATACGCCGAAACCGTTGACATATACTGCAAGTACCCTGTTCAAAGATGCTAGCATCACAATCATATCCTGATACAATATTCAGCGCAACCAGACAACCTCATCTACCTAATTCACGAGAACCATGTCCAGCCGTTTCAGAATCAGGAGTCCGAACCAGATCAGGACGACTAATACATCAACCTCGATGGATGCAGGATTTTACAAAGTAAAGAAATTGTATCCTCAATAATAAAGAACTTGGGAAGGGGGATGTTATATGTATACATACATGTGTGTGTATATATACACATACACATGTATATTAACTGCAGACAGAAAGGAAACTAGGACTTCTGCTGTAGAGCGACTTCCTGTAAAATGCCTTAAGGAAATAAACGTATGTTCTCACACTCCAATCTTTATCTCTCTTTTCTAAGTGCAGCGAGAAATCATCGCCGACTCTTCTCAAGTCCATTTTACGAAGAACAAATACCTGCACGGTAAGACTGAATCATTTTACTTCTTTGTTGACTGTAAACCTTATTCACTTCACGTTGTATATGTGTCAATCGGCAAATACAACAGCTGGCAAGGCACCTTCACCGAAGCTTAGTCGCTTATTCTATGTGACAGATACACGTAATAATTTACGTTTCTTGGTTGACACCGGCGCTGCCATCAGTGTGTTACCTGTTCGTGGTAAAGCACGTCAACAACCTTTTCAGCTCCGCTTACAAGCAGCAAATGGTTCCAGCATTAATACCTACGGTACTAAGTCCCTTACCTTAAATATAGGAATGCGTCGAGACTTTACCTGGAATTTTACTATTGCTGATGTTCAGATGCCAATATTGGGTGCCGATTTCCTGGCACACTATGATCTAGCCGTTCGAATGAACAACCATTCCCTAACAGATAACTTGACAAGACTGTGTGTTCTTGGTACCTACTCCAAACTTACCACCACTGGCATCACCGTGGCAACTTGCCAAAGTAAGGAGTACTTAGACATATTGAATCAGTACCAGGACCTCCTGCTGGATCTATTGATTCAACCAAACATCAAACGCAGCATTTTATTAAGACCACTGGTCAACCTGCTTTTTCCCGTCCTCGTTGTTTAGCACCTAATAAATTAAAATTCGTCATGGATTTAGAGAGTCCAGCACTCTTTGGCTTAGAGTGGCTCCGCTATATAAAATTAAACTGTCAAGAGATACAGATGGTACAGTGAACACCACTAAAGGAGACAATGTAAGCCAAACTAAGAAACATCCTCACAAAGTATAGTGAAATTTTCATTGAGGAACTGAGGACCGTAAAATGAGTTAAAGCTAAGTTAACTCTAAAAGACAATGTCAAACCAGTATTCATTAAGGCCAGGTCAATGCCGTATGCATTGCACCTAGTGATAGAAGTACAGTTAGACCAATTAGAAAAGAGAGGAATCCTGACAAAAGTAACAACGTGCGAGCAGGCTTGCCCAATTGTACAAGTAGTAAAGAGGTCAGGAGCAGTACAGATTTTTGGAAATGATAAAGCCACTGTGAACCGAGAACTGTGTTTGATACTAGAATAATACCCTTTGCCAAAAATTGAAGACATATTCACAAAGTTGGCAGTTACTAAACAGTTTACAAAGATCGACTTGTGGCAGGCATACCTGAAAATGAAAGAATCATCCAAGCAGTATTTAAAACTGAACACACACAACGGCCTATACTAGAAAAACCGCTTACCACTCGATATTGCATCAAGCCCAGCAAAATGGACCAGATATTAACAGATATTCCCATAACAGAGTACATTAACGATGACATGATCATCACAGGGACAGATGACGAGGGGCACCTACACAATGTAGAATCGGTGCTGAAGTGGCTCAAGGAATATAACCTGAAGAACAGCTTAGATAAATGGAAATTCTTCATGGACAGGATTGCCTATTGCAGACATGAGACCTCAGTGCTCAGTCTACAAAAGACTCCCAAGAAAAGAACAGGCCATTCAAGAAGCACCATGGCCCTACAATAGCTCCAGTCCTTCTTGGGAATGGTAAATTACTATCACTAGTTCTTACTCAATCTGGCCACTGAACAGCACCCCCTACATGAGTTGTTACAGAAGGACCACAAATGGAATTGTTCACCACAATGTGGAAAAGCATCTCTACATGCTAAGGAATTGGTTATATCAAACAGGCTACTGATACATTATGACCCTGAAAAACCAATCTGAGTAGCAAGTGATGCACCTCCCTACAGGGTGGGTAGCTGTTCTATCTCACATCATGGAGGACAATACTGAATGGCCTATCACTTTCACATCAAGATGACTCACTAAACCAAAGTGTAATTACTCTCAGATTGACAAAGGAGCATTGGACCTTGTTTGGGAGTTAAATGCTTCCATCATTACCTATATGGACACAAGTTTACTATTGTCACTCACCACAAACCCCTGAACTCTATCCTGCATCCACAAAAGGAAATTCCTGTAATGACAGCAGCAACAACTACAGAGATATGAAATTCCAATGCGGATGGATTATCAAGGTTACCATTCAAAGGCAAACAGTGAACAAAAGAATAGGAGATGAGCATTACCTTGTTTCACATTTCACAACTAGAGCAGCTACCTGTTACATGTGGCAAAATCAGGACAGCAACACGATGTGACCCAACCATAGCACTCATCCTGGAGAAAGTGCAAAAAGGATAGATGAGTATAAGGAATGTCATCCTTACTTCACAAAAAGTTATATGCTATCAACCTCACAAGGAGTACTGACCTGAGGAATGAGGGTAATAATCTTCTCAACACTACAGGAACAGGTGCTGAAGATGCTGCATGTAGTACACCTGGGAGTAGTGATAATGAAGGACTGGCTCAAAGCTATGTATGGTGGCCCTCGATCAACCAAGATATCTAATAAACAAGGAATGTGAAGGGTGCCAAACAAATTTAAATATGTCCCAGCATGTCTATTTACATCCTTGGGAATGGCCAGTTCATCATGGCAATGCATCCATGTAGATTTTGCTGGGCCATTTCAAGAACTTCTATTTTTCATTGTGGTAGACGTCCATTCAAAAATGGCCTGAGGTATCTATTATAAAGATCACTACAGCCACCCACTTGATGCAGGTGACGAGATAAATATTTGCTTCCTATGGAATGCAACTGGTCTTGGACAATGGCCCCCAGTTTACATCAAAAGAGTTTGCAATGTTCCTGCAGGAGAATAGAATCAGACATATCCGCTTCATGTAGCTATAAATGGTTTGGCTGAGTGGTTTGTACAAACTTTAAAACACAGATGCAAGTCAATGGGTCAGGGTGTACTACCAGAGAAAAAGTTGGTAAACTTTATACTGATGTACAGAAATACACCGCATGCAACCACTTGAAGAGAACACTATGGTGCAGGCTCAATGGTTTGGTTTGGCTTGGTTTATGGCATATCAGCCACAATGGGTTGTTTAATGCTGACAATTTTTATTACTGGTAATATTCTTCATAAATTTATTGCTGGTAATTTTTTTTCAACAAATGTATAGCTAATCATTTCTTTTTTTCAGAAATGTATATGTGGTAGTTTTTTTTTTAAATGTTTGGTTTTGTTTTGTGGCATATCAATCTCAATGGGTTGTTTAATGCCAATAAGATTTTTATTGCTGTTAATATATATTAAAAAAAACCCTGTTTTTACACTTACATTGTGTTTTGATCCCAGTTTGGGAGTTAACTATTTACCCATAGCTGGGACCCTAACAGTTGCTACCACCCCGGGTCAGGGTAGACCAGGGAACACCAGCAATTAAGAGGTGGTTCCATGCTCCTCAAAACCTCCTGATCTGAGACCTTGCTGCTGGACATAGTTTATTATCTTATCCAGGACAGTCGATGTAATGAAACAAAATAGTGAACACAGGTTGGTAGACAAATTCTTCCCCATGATGGGTAACAGTTGCAAGCAACGCTACTTATCAATCGGACAGTGTATCCTCATGAAAGACAATAGAGGGAAGTCTAAATGGAAAGAGGACACAGTATTCAAATGACTGGATCTGTTGATCTGTGTTGCATGAGGAACAAATTAGGGTCTACACCGCCTTGAGCGGTGTGATTGTAGTTTTGGCCGAGAATAAAGCAGCCATGTGATTCGACGCTTTTGTTGTGTTTTGTTTATCCATTGCCATCCACATATACACGATAGTGAAATATGGTGGCAGCGGTGGGATCAAAGGATTTTCAAGCATGAAAGAGGAAATGAGGAATGTATTTTAGGAAGACGAACGCAGATAAGTAACGTTTATTGTTTTGTTTAATTTGTGTGCAAGCGGAGTTTTTTTAAAAAAAAATTAAAAAAATGGCTGAACCCGGTATGGACGAAGCGAATAGACCTGTGACTGGCATAAGACCTCCACTACCCCTGTGTATCGAAAATAATTTATCAGCAAATTGGAAACTTTTTAAGCTGAAATGGCATAATTATGCCATTATTACGTATCTGGCGAGACAGCCGGTACAATACCAAATGGCGCTTTTGCTTCAAACGCTAGGAGACGAGGCATTAAAGGTCTATTATGGGTTTTAATTTTTAACTCCTGAAGATGAGAGAACACCCCATGAAATAATTCAGGCGTTCGATAAATACGCTATAGAGGAAATAAACGAAACATACGAACATTACGTCTTCCATACAAGGAAACAGGGAGAATCAGAAACTGTTGAGGCATTTATTACGTCGCTTCGTACGTTGATAAAAACATGTAATTTTTGTGACAGTTGTGTCTCATCAATATTGCAGGATCAGATAATTCTTGGAATACATGATCCCCATACACAAGCAGAATTACTAAAAATAAGACAGTTAGATTTACAAAGATGCATAGACGTATGTAAGCTGTCAGAAAACGCTACGCTACAGTCCAAAATCCTGAGACCTGAGGAAGTGAACATAGTCGATTTTAAACCTATGATAAAACTATCGGCACAAAGTGACAGAGAGTGTAGGGCACGTGCGCTGCAACATGAACCGAGCAAAGAGTTGTGTCCTGCATTTGGGAAGACATGTTTCAAATGTAATAGGAAGAACCACTTTGCTATTAAATGCAAATCCATAAGGAAAAAGAATATCCGTACCGTCGAAACACAACAGGATGACAGTGGTAATGGTTCGGACTATGGACATGTAGACATGGTCGCAACAAAAAAAAAGAATAAATTCTGTAAGACCAAAGGTAATAAAGGCGGAGATGATGGTGAAAGGAAAGCCAATTGTTTTTCAGCTTGATAGTAGAGCATCGGTCAATATATTGAATGAGAAGCATGTAATGGGAAAAACACTTGAACACTCAAATAAGACTCTTGTCATGTGGAATGGGGAGCATAAATGAAGCTATTAGGGGAGTGCCGAGTGAAAATGATAAACCCCAAAACTGGACAGAAATATGCAGTGAAGTTTGTTATTGTAAAGGAGGACTTGGAGCTAATGCAATTCAGCAGAGAGCACTCAACACAATCAATAATGACAAGTTCAAGAGGGTTGCCAAAGTATACCAATTGGATGAAGTCGGCAGCCAGCACCCGGGAAGCATTATAACAGAATTTAAAGATGTATTCAAGGAGGAATTGGGTGAATTACCCGGGGAGGTACACTTGGAGGTAGATCCAAGCGTAACACCTAATGTTGCAGCAGCATGGAAAATACTGGTAGCACTTAGGGACAAAGTGAAAACTGAATTGAAAAAATTAGTAAAAAAGAAGGTAATTGAATCGATAAATGAGCGAACACCATGGGTAAGTGCATTAGCACTGGTGGTCAAGAAAAATGGGTGGTTACATATATGTATAGACCCAAGACTAAATAAGGCTCTTAAACGAGTACACTTACAATTATCTGTACTGGATGATTTACTCCAAGAACTTGCTGATGGTAAAGTCTTCTCGACCCTGGATCTGAGAGATGGATTTTGGCATCTAAAATTAAATGAAGCCAGTAGTAGCTTGACAACATTTGCTACTCTATATAGTCAGTTTCGTTGGAAGGTATTACCATTTGGCATTGCTCCGGCTCCGGAGATATTTCAGAAGGTGCTATATAACAATGTGGCTGACTTGGAGGGAGTTGTCAATAAAACAGATGATCTTCTGGTAGTGGGAAAAGGTAAAACCATGGAAGAAGCACTGGTGGATCAGGACACAAAGCTCAGGAAACTGTTGCACAGATGTCGCAAACGTGGGATGCGACTGAACACGGAAAAAATGAATCTGCGACAAACATCTACATCATTCCTGGGGCACATGATAACTAGTGAGGGTTTACGTCTTGACCCTGAGAAAGTAAAGGCCATAAGAGATATGCCCTGCCCAACAGACATAAAGGGAGTGCAATGATTGGGAGGATTCGTGAATTGTCTGGCAAAGTTTCTACCTCACATTTCTGACGTGATGACTCCAATCCGCAATTTAACAAAGACAGGCATGCCATGGACATGGTCGCAGATCCATGAAGAGGCGTTTGAAAAAAATCAAAAAGCTAGTGAGTGAAGCACCAGTATTGAGATACTATGACCACAAAAAAACCGTTGGTCATTCAATGTGATGCAAGTGAAAAAGGCATGGGAGCTGCATTTCTACAAGAAGGTCAACCTTTAGCCTATATCAGTTGAGCGTTTACAGACACAGAGACCAGATATGCACAGATTGAAAAAGAACTGTTAGCAGTGGTATACGCATGTGAACGATTTCACCAGTATACGTTTGGTCAACAGGTCACAGTGATGACCGACCATAGGCCATTGGAAGCAATAATGAAAAAAGAATTGGGGAAATGCCCAAAGTGACTGCAAAATATGTTGATGCAGTTGCAAGTTTACAATGTTATAGTTCTGTACCATCCTGGCAAGAAGATGTTTCTTGCAGATACACTATCAAGGGCATACATCCATGGAGTGAATAGTGAATATATAGATGATGTTGATGATGTCAGGGAAACTGAATATATTCCTGTGACAGAGGGAAGGTTGCTTGAATTGCGCTCAGCCACAAAGGAAGACAGAAGCATGCAGCTGTTGCAGCAGGTAATTGTGGAAGGATGGCCAGATGACAAAGTACATCTTGACCCAGATGTGAGACCATATTTTAACATGCGGAACGAAATGACTGTACAAGATGGGTTAATTTTCAGAGGAAACTGAGTAGTGGTCCCAATCACCCAGCAGGCTGTGTTGAAGGAAAGATTGCATTCCACACACCTAGGAGTTGAAGGGTGTTGCAGAAGAGCAAGAGAATGTTTGTACTGGACAAATATGAACAATGATGTCAGAGACTATGTGTCAAAATGCCCTACAGGTAGGAAATATGAGGTAGCCAATCCGGCAGAGCCCTTAATAGTCCGTGAGATTCCTGAGAGACCCTGGGCAAAAGTAGGAGTAGATCTCTTCAAGTTTGCTGATAGGGACTATCTCTGCACAGTTGATTACATGAGCAACTTCTGGGGAATTGATCATCTTCCGACTACACAGGCAAAGATGGTGATCACTAAACTTAAACACCATTTTGCATGATTGGTGACCCCGACGTGATGTGAACACGTAATAAGATTGGTGACCTTGCCGACATAATTCTGAGCAATAAGATTGGTAACCTTGTCCAACGTGAGTTTTGAGGAACACTTATTTCTTATATGAAAGACAGGCCATTTTTCTTTCAGGTCAGATCTTAAATCTAAACGTGCATAAATTTGATAGCCGGAATGACGTCTGGTGACGCTGAAGAGTTGGCGAACATGACCGCCACCGCCGCTGCTCCATTTCCCCCCTTTTACGAAGGGAACATTAAGAATTGGTTCCTGCAAATGGAGGCTATTTTTATTGTCAGAAAAATTACGGACCAAAAAGCAAAGTTTGGCCACGTGGTGGCGGTTTTGTCACCCGCCATTGTGGATGAAGTATCTGATTTTCTAGAAGCCGTCCCGGAGGTGGAACCGTATGCCCGATTAAAGGAGGCTATCCGAAGAAGAATGGGCCGTACGGAGGAAACATTAATCTGTGAGTTATTTAGTAACTTGACTTACGAATGCAGGATCCCCTCACAACTCCTTCGTTTTATGAAAAGTCGACTCGGTAAAAACACCATGGCTGATACGATTTTAAAAAGCCTGTGGTTGGATCGCCTCCCCACCACAAATGCCCAAATTTTAGCGCCCATGTCAGAGAACACTCCACTTGACCAGTTAGCAGACGCCGCTGATCGTATTTTCTCCCAACTGGATCACCAAACGACACCACTACACAGTGCTGAAGCAGCTAGTGACCACAGGTCCTTGGAAAATGCTGTGGAAGACTTACAGCGGCAAGTTAGAGACTTGACATTAGCTCTAAAAAGCTGTGGTCGAAGCCAGTTTCCTTCCCGCTGGCGTTTCAGGAGTCGACCACATTCGTGCAGTCGAAACAAGGATGTCCCTTCTTCTACTATGTGTTATTATCACTGCAGATTTGGTTCTGCAGCACATTACTGCACCAAGCCGTGCACCTATACTGCGGTCGTGGAAAACAAGACCGCCAGCGAGTGAAAGCGACTAATCTCGCTGGCAAGGCACCTTCACCGAAGCTTAGTCGCCTTTTCTACGTGACAGATACACATAATAATTTACGTTTTTTGGTTGACACCGGCACTGCCATCAGTGTGTTACCTGTTCGTGATAAAGCACGTCAACAACCTTTTCAGCTCCGCTTACAAGCAGCAAATGGTTCCAGCATTAATACCTACGGTACGAATTCCTTCACCTTAAATATAGGAATGCGTCGAGACTTTACCTGGAATTTTACTATTGCTGATGTTCAGATGCCAATATTGGGTGCCGATTTCCTGGCACACTATGATCTAGCCGTTCGAATGAACAACCATTCCCTAACAGATAACTTGACAAGACTGTGTGTTCTTGGTACCTACTCCAAACTTACCACCACTGGCATCACCGTGGCAACTTGCCACAGTAAGGAGTACTTAGGCATATTGAATCAGTACCAGGACCTCCTGCGTCCTGCTGGATCTATTGATTCAACCAAACATCAAACGCAGCATTTTATTAAGATCACTGGTCAACCTGCTTTTTCCCGTCCTCGTTGTTTAGCACCTAATAAATTAAAATTCGTCATGGATTTAGAAGGTCCAGCACTCTTTGGCTTAGAGTGGCTCCGCTATATAAAATTAAACTGTCAAGAGATACAGATGGTACAGTGAACAGCACTAAAGGAGACAATGTAAGCCAAACTAAGAAACATCCTCACAAAGTATAGTGAAATTTTCATTGAGGAACTGAGGCCCGTAAAATGAGTTAAAGCTAAGTTAACTCTGAAAGACAATGTCAAACCAGTATTCATTAAGGCCAGGCCACACAAGCAGAATTACTAAAAATAAGACAGTTAGATTTACAAAGATGCATAGACGTATGTAAGCTGTCAGAAAACGCTACACTACAGTCCAAAATCCTGAGACCCAAGGAAGTGAACATAGTCGATTTTAAACCTATGATAAAACCATCGGCACAAAGTGACAGAGAGTGTAGGGAACGTGCGCTGCAACATGAACCGAGCAAAGAGTTGTTTCCTGCATTTGGGAAGACATGTTTCAAATGTAATAGGAAGAACCACTTTGCTATTAAATGCAAATCCGTAAGGAAAAAGAATATCCGTACCGTCGAAACACAACAGGATGACAGTGGTAATGGTTCGGACTATGGACATGTAGACATGGTCGCAACAAAAAAAAAAAGAATAAATTCTGTAAGACCAAAGGTAATAAAGGCGGAGATGATGGTGAAAGGAAAGCCAATTGTTTTTCAGCTTGATAGTGGAGCATCGGTCAATATATTGAATGAGAAGCATGTGATGGGAAAAACACTTGAACACTCAAATAAGACTCTTGTCATGTGGAATGGGGAGCATAAATGAAACTATTAGGGGAGTGCCGAGTGAAAATGATAAACCCCAAAACTGGACAGAAATATGCAGTGAAGTTTGTTATTGTAAAGGAGGACTTGGAGCTAATGCAATTCAGCAGAGAGCACTCAACACAATCAATAATGACAAGTTCAAGAGGGTTGCCAAAGGATCCCAATTGGATGAAGTCGGCAGCCAGCACTCGGGAAGCATTATAACAGAATTTAAAGATGTATTCAAGGAGGAATTGGGTGAATTACCCGGGGAGGTACACTTGGAGGTAGATCCAAGCGTAACACCTAATGTTGCAGCAGCATGGAAAATACTGGTAGCACTTAGGGACAAAGTGAAAACTGAATTGAAAAAACTAGTAAAAAAGAAGGTAATTGAACCGATAAATGCGCCAACACCATGGGTAAGTGCATTAGAACTGGTGGTCAAGAAAAATGGGTGGTTACATATATGTATAGACCCAAGACTGCTAAATAAGGCTCTTAAACGGGTACACTTACAATTATCTGTACTGGATGATTTACTCCCAGAACTTGCTGACGGTAAAGTCTTCTCGACCCTGGATCTGCGAGATGGATTTTGGCATCTAAAATTAAATGAAGCCAGTAGTAGCTTGACAACATTTGCTACTCTATATGGTCAGTTTCGTTGGAAGGTATTACCATTTGGCATTGCTCCGGCTCCGGAGATATTTCAGAAGGTGCTATATAACAATGTGGCTGACTTGGAGGGGGTTGTCAATAAAACAGATGATCTTCTGGTAGTGGGAAAAGGTAAAACCATGGAAGAAGCACTGGTGGATCAGGACACAAAGCTCAGGAAACTGTTGCACAGATGTCGCGAACGTGGGATGCGACTGAACACGGAAAAAATGAATCTGCGACAAACATCTACATCATTCCTGGGGCACATGATAACTAGTGAGGGTTTACGTCTTGACCCTGAGAAAGTAAAGGCCATAAGAGATATGCCCTGCCCAACAGACATAAAAGGAGTGCAACGATTGGGAGGATTCGTGAATTGTCTGGCAAAGTTTCTACCTCACATTTCTGACGTGATGGCTCCAATCCGCAATTTAACAAAGACAGGCGTGCCATGGACATGGTCGCAGATCCATGAAGAGGCGTTTGAAAAAATCAAAAAGCTAGTGAGTGAAGCACCAGTATTGAGATACTATGACCACAAAAACCGTTGGTCATTCAATGTGATGCAAGTGAAAAGGCATGGGAGCTGCATTTCTACAAGAAGGTCAACCTTTAGCCTATATCAGTTGAGCGTTTACAGACACAGAGACCAGATATGCACAGATTGAAAAAGAACTGTTAGCAGTGGTATACGCATGTGAACGATTTCACCAGTATACGTTTGGTCAACAGGTCACAGTGATGACCGACCATAGGCCATTGGAAGCAATAATGAAAAAAGAATTGGGGAAATGCCCAAAGTGACTGCAAAATATGTTGATGCAGTTGCAAGTTTACAATGTTATAGTTCTGTACCATCCTGGCAAGAAGATGTTTCTTGCAGATACACTATCAAGGGCATACATCCATGGAGTGAATAGTGAATATATAGATGATGTTGATGATGTCAGGAAACTGAATATATTCCTGTGACAGAGGGAAGGTTGCTTGAATTGCGCCAGCCACAAAGGAAGACAGAAGCATGCAGCTGTTGCAGCAGGTAATTGTGGAAGGATGGCCAGATGACAAAGTACATCTTGACCCAGATGTGAGACCATATTTTAACCTGCGGGAACTAAATGACTGTACAAGATGGGTTAATTTTCAGAGGAAACTGAGTAGTGGTCCCAATCACCCAGCAGGCTGTGTTGAAGGAAAGATTGCATTCCACACACCTAGGAGTTGAAGGGTGTTGCAGAAGAGCAAGAGAATGTTTGTACTGGACAAATATGAACAATGACGTCAGAGACTATGTGTCAAAATGCCCTACAGGTAGGAAATATGAGGTAGCCAATCCGGCAGAGCCCTTAATAGTCCGTGAGATTCCTGAGAGACCCTGGGCAAAAGTAGGAGTAGATCTCTTCAAGTTTGCTGATAGGGACTATCTCTGCACAGTTGATTACATGAGCAACTTCTGGGGAATTGATCATCTTCCGACTACACAGGCAAACTTAAACACCATTTTGCACGATTGGTGACCCCGACGTGATGTGAACACGTAATAAGATTGGTGACCTTGCCGACATAATTCTGAGCAATAAGATTGGTAACCTTGTCCAACGTGAGTTTTGAGGAACACTTATTTCTTATATAAAAGACAGGCCATTTTTCTTTCAGGTCAGATCTTAAATCTAAACGTGCATAAATTTGATAGCCGGAATGACGTCTGGTGACGCTGAAGAGTTGGCGAACATGACCGCTGCCGCCGCTGCTCCATTTCCCCCCTTTTATGAAGGGAACATTAAGAATTGGTTCCTGCAAATGGAGGCTATTTTTATTGTCAGAAAAATTACGGACCAAAAAAGCAAAGTTTGGCCACGTGGTGGCGGTTTTGTCACCCGCCATTGTGGATGAAGTATCTGATTTTCTAGAAGCCGTCCTGGAGGTGGAACCATACGCCTGATTAAAGGAGGCTATCCTAAGAAGAATGGGCCGTACGGAGGAAACATTAATCCGTGAGTTATTTAGTAACTTGACCTGCGATGACAGGACTCCCTCATAACTCCTTTGTTTTACGAAAAGTCGACTCGGTAAAAACACCATGGCTGACATGATTTTAAAAAGCCTGTGGCTGGATCGCATCCCCACCACCATTACCCAAATTTTGGCGCCCATGTCAGAGAACACCACATTTGACCAGTTAGCGGACGCCGCTGATCGTATTTTCTCCCAACTGGATCACCAAACGACACCACTACACAGTGCTGAAGCAGCTAGTGACCACAGGTCCTTGAAAAAAGCTATGGAAGACTTACAGCGGCAAGTTAGAGACTTGACATTAGCTCTAAAAAGCCGTGGTCGAAGCCGTTTTCCTTCCCGCCGGTGTTTCAGGAGTCAACCATGTTCGTGCAGTCGAAACAAGGATGTCCCTTCTTCTACTATGTGTTATTATCACCGCAGATTTGGTTCTGCAGCACATTACTGCACCAAGCCATGCACCTACACTGTGGTCGTGGAAAACAAGACCGCCAGCGAGTGAAAGCAACTAATCTCGCTGGCAAGGCACCTTCACCGAAGCTTAGTCGCCTTTTCTACGTGACAGATACACATAATAATTTACGGTTTTTGGTTGACACCGGCACTGCCATCAGTGTGTTACCTGTTCGTGATAAAGCACGTCAACAACCTTTTCAGCTCTGCTTACAAGCAGCAAATGGTTCCAGCATTAATACCTACGGTACGAATTACTTCACCTTAAATATAGGAATGCGTCGAGACTTTACCTGAAATTTTACTATTGCTGATGTTCAGATGCCAATATTGGGGTGCGATTTCCTGGCACACTATGATCTAAGCCGTTCAGAATGAACAACCATTCCCTAACAGATAACTTGACAAGACTGTGTGTTCTTGGTACCTACTCCAAACTTACCACCACTGGCATCACCGTGGCAACTTGCCACAGTAAGGAGTACTTAGACATATTGAATCAGTAC